TTTTTTTTTTTTTTTTTTTTTTTTTTTTTTTAGGTACCAGGGATCAAACTTGGGTCCTTGTACTTGGGAGGCAGATGGCAGCACCATTGAGCTTATTGGAACAGGACAAGGGCAGTTTTGTAATTTAGCCTTCTAAGAAGACAGTGTCTTATAAATCATATGAAAACAAGGTGCCATAAACTTGTTTACAGGACATAGTTGTCAATTTTATCTGTACCAGAACAACAGTTTTGGATACAAAGGAGAGGGGTGGGGTGGGAGGAGGTGGGGTGGGACCCAAGGCGAGGAAGCTGCCCAAGCCTGGGAAGAACTTATTTTTCTTTAAGTCCTACTTCACCCCTGCCTTACTCAAATGATACTATTCTGTTCATTGTTCTGTAGCTAGTTGTTTCGTCCACTTAGGAGTGTGTACATTAAAGATTGTTTCAGGGTAGAGCCCTTGCATAGCTGGAGGGCTTGGGTGTACTCAGCATTACCAAAAAAGAAATGTGTGTGTGTGTGTGTGTGTACGTATGTACGTATGTGTATACACATGTATGTATGTACGTATTTATGTATGTATGTACGTATGTATGTATTCTTTAGCATACTTTTTTTACCCTTCTGGTAGCAGGTACAACTTTAGCACTTTAGTTTGCATATGATGAGTGATAGTTAGAGGTGGGGAGGATATAGAGGGAGAAGTTAAAAGAGTCCAAACCCAGAGTTAATAAAACTCAATTGAACGAAAATGAATTTCATGTTGATATCATTAAAATTACTTCTGAAAATTAGAATTACATTTACTATTCTGCAGACATCATTGGACAGTGTAATAATAGCAATACAGACAAGTTAGGAATAACTTTGTTGAGAAGTTTTCTTATTTATACCTTATTTTTGGTACCGGGGATCAAACTGAGGACTTTGTGCTTGCAAGGCAGGTGCAGTGCCACTGAGTTAATTTCCTGGCCCAAATTTTCTTATTTATAAAGCAGGACTGATTATAGTACATCATGTAGACTTACTCAGAAGATTAAATAAGATATATAAAAGTTATATACTAAGCAGTTGCATGTTTTATAATCACACACACACACAGACATATATGTGTATGTGCTCCTAAGCATCACATCTCAAAAACTGGGGAATAGTCTCTTACCTGTTAGAGAAGTGTTTTTCCCTCCCAGCATTGAAATTCCTCTTTTCTCTTCCCTTTTGTTTTTGTTTTTATTTTTTGGTATCAGGAATTGAACTCAGGATCTTATGCTTGCAAGGCAGGTGCGGTGCCACTGAGCTAAATCCCCAGCCCATGTTTTCATTTTTATTTTTTGAGGCAAGGTATAGCTATGTGTCTCAGGCTGGCCTGAAACTCACAGCAGTCCTTCTGCCTCAGCCTCTCAGGTGCTGGAATTTTAGATGTGTGCCAGCTCTGCCCAACTTCTTCCTTTCTGTTTTGTTTTCTCTCTCCTCTCCCCTGAGCCTGTGCTTCACTGTGGAAAACCTCAGGAAGTTAAGGGATCTACACTGGGAACTTCCTGTCAGGTTGTCAGATTGTCTGTATTGCAACTGGAACAGTGTGATATCTGTTGCCCCCCATGCTGGTCATCTTATATGTAGATTTTTTTTCTCATATATTTTTGTCAGATCTTTCACAAATACCCTGGTTTGGTGTTTTTGAATTTTGATTTTTTTTTCTTTTCTTTTTTTGTGGTGGTAGAGCCATGCACGTATACTAGCAAGCATTTTACCACTAAGCAACACTCCCAACCCATATTCTTGATATTATATTCACTTGAAAATTATTAGATTAATAAAAGTGTGCTTACTTATTTTTTGAGAGTAAAAACTGCAGAACACTAAGTTTATAGAAGTGATATTATTATTAATTTGTAATAATACAATTTCTTTATTTACAGGTAGGCGAAAACCAAGAGTACATCGGCCTCGTTCTCCAATATTAGAAGAAAAAGACATCCCACCCCTTGACTTTCCCAAGTCCTCTGAGGATTTAATGGTGCCTAATGAGCATATAATGAATGTTATTGCCATTTATGAGGTACTGAGGAACTTTGGCACTGTTTTAAGATTGTCTCCTTTTCGCTTTGAGGACTTCTGTGCAGCTCTAGTGAGCCAAGAGCAGTGCACACTCATGGCGGAGATGCACGTCGTGCTTTTGAAAGCAGTTCTGCGTGAAGAAGACACCTCCAATACTACCTTTGGGCCTGCTGACCTGAGAGATAGTGTCAATTCCACACTGTATTTCATAGATGGGATGACGTGGCCGGAGGTGCTGCGTGTGTACTGTGAGAGCGACAAGGAGTACCATCACGTTCTTCCGTACCAGGAAGCCGAGGACTACCCTTATGGGCCAGTAGAGAATAAAATCAGAGTTCTGCAGTTCTTAGTGGATCAGTTTCTTACGACAAACATTGCTCGTGAGGAGTTGATGTCTGAGGGGGTGATCCAGTACGATGACCATTGTAGGGTTTGCCACAAACTTGGGGATTTGCTTTGCTGCGAGACGTGTTCAGCTGTGTACCATTTGGAGTGTGTTAAGCCACCTCTTGAGGAGGTACCCGAGGACGAATGGCAGTGTGAAGTCTGTGTAGCGCACAAGGTGCCTGGTGTGACTGACTGTGTTGCTGAAATCCAAAAAAACAAACCATATATTCGACACGAGCCTATTGGATATGATAGAAGTCGGAGGAAATACTGGTTCTTAAACCGAAGACTCATAATGTAAGTGAACCCGATTTTAATTTTTGCATGTATTTGATATTAAACTATTTTTCTTCATTATTGATCCAGTGAAGCTATACTGCTTTAGTATAGTACTGTAGTATAAATTTTTGTAATTTAATGATGAGTTGTAGTTAAATGATTTTGAAGTTGAAAGACTGTATGAGAGACGCAAAGTGCACACATTGTTGTCTGTGCCTAGGACAAGGAATAGAATGTTCTTAGGGAGATGTGGCCCCTTCCTTGGTTATATTCCTCTGTAGCCCATTAAGGTAATTTGTGCTCTAACTTTGGTGTTAGAAGTTCTTTGTATCTCCCTTTTACTTTTATTCTATCTGAATGTGAAAGAGAACAGCAAGAAAAGGTCATTTTTTGTGCCATTGTTGGTTGCCGATTCCGAATAATAGTCTGGCAAAAGGGTTGCAAAACCCTATTTCAGGCATCAGTAGACAAAGTCAGGAAAACCCTAGACTTACCTTACTCAGGGCGTCAGGCAGGGTTAAAGTGTGGTCTGAGTATCCTACACTGTGTACTAACCTGGTGGAGGAGATGGGCTACTTTGTATTTTTTAAACCTTCAAAGTTTTCTTCCAGTTCTCAGAAATAGGTGCAGTCAGGAAATCTGTGGTGGGATGAAATGAATGTCAGAGCAGGGTGGGGAGGGTAACCAGGAATTTAAAAGATGAGTGTTGCTGTGGAGCAGTCTGAACACATTCTGATGCTTGATTTTTTTGTGTATGACTGGTCTGTGCTCCAGTGAAAGCTCACGGAATTGTCTTGGGGTCCACTGTTGTGCAGCTTGTGCAGTGCTGTACCCTGGATGGGTCCATTTTCATTGCTGGGTATGTGGTATACGTTTTCCATCTGGCGGTTGAATCCTTCAGCTGTGAGAACTCTTAGGACTTTCTCCTCTCCTTTTCCATTTTGTATTCATCTGGAGTATTATTTTATTGAACAGTGGACTTCCTGTTCTTGTTCTGATTTTCTTATCTTTTCTCTCCAGTTCTCTGCTTTGTCTTTTTCCTGTTGGGGGATGTATGTTGCTTAATTTTTCTAGATTTCTTTGTCTTGGCCTCTCAACCATAGTACAGTATTTAGTTTTGGTGTTTTTGCTACCATATTTTTCTGTGTTTTTATTTCCTAAGCACTCTTTGTTTTTAGAATCCTCCTTTTATTACATTTGCTTATTTATTTATTTTGGTTTTTTGAGGCAGGGTCTCCCTTTGCAGTTCAGGCTGGCCCTGAACTCACTATGCAGCCCAGGCAGGCTTTGAACTCATGGCATCCTCCTGCCTCAGCCTACCAGTGCTGGGATTACAGGTGTGCATCACTATGCCCAGCTTAGAATCCTCCTTTTAAAAACTAATTTAAAAATCCTGTTTTTGGGCTGGGGATTTAGCTCAGTGGTGCTGCTGCCTGCCTCACAAGCTAAAGGTCCCGAGTTCCATTCCTGGTACCAAAAAAAAAAAAAAAAAAATAAATCCATACAAAAAAAAAAAAAAAAAAAAAAAAAGATCCTGTTTTTGTCTCATGGATATAGTATTTTATCTTACTGCTCTGAGGCTTTTAATTGCCCCCCCCCCCAGTTGTATAGTCTGTTTCTTCTAAATTGCTGCTTCTTGTTCTTTGTTTTGGTCTCTCTCTCTCTGCCATCCTCAGATGTTTACATGTTTTTAATTGTTCTGCTCCTGTTAAACACTGGGGAACTATATGACTAGGCCTTATCGGTTTGCAGTGCACCTGTGGAGTGACTTTCATTGTTCCTTATTGAGGAATCCCCATTGTCTGTACCTTTAGCTCTTTCCTCTAGAGCTGGCTGGTGCTGAGAGGAGCCTTTTGCTGTTCCCACTGGCACCGTTCTGTGGCTGAGTGAGGGAAGTGGGCTGCTTTTATTGTGCGTGCAGCATTTCCTGTGTCACTTGAAGCCTCTGTTTTCTGAATGGTACCTTTGTTCACACTCGAGCCTGTGTCTCCCAGTCCAGAGAGAACCTCAGGATCTGCTGCCGAATCGGCTCACAGCCAGCTTTCTGTTTGAGTTCTTCCCCTCATTTGCAGTGACTTTTGAGGAATTGGGGATATACATTGGGTTGGTTCTCAGCTTCTTTTCATTTAGGATTGGGGTTTCTTGGCTCTGCTTTGGTAATAATCACTTGCCATCTCCTTCCCTGCTTCCAAAGTTTTTTGTCTGTCCTCTTTTCCTATCCTTATGAGTTTATGTCTTTAAAAATACTTCTTTTGGGCTAGGATGTAACTAGGTGGTAGAATACTTGCTTAGCACATACTAGGTCCTAGCTAGGTTCAATCCCTAGTACTTTCAAAAAATAAAAATAAATAAAAACCAAGACAAAGCAAACTATTTCTTCAGCATAGTTTTAAGGATATTTCAGGAGAGGGTAGAATTAGAATTGCATACTAATCCAGAAACTAGTATACAAATATATCTTAAATGAATACTTTGTCTTTTTCTCTAGATCATTTATTTATTTATTTAAAAAAATTTTTTTTCAGCTTTAATTGAGTTTATTGGTACATTTTAGGGATACAGTACAGTTACATTCATTGTTGGGATCTTGTACCTCTACATGACAAGTCTTGATTCTCATTTTTTCCCCTTACCTCTGTAGATCGTTTATTTTTAAAAATATCGTATATTTCTTGCCTACTTATGCCCAAGTGTCTGATATGTGTCCCTTGTGTCTTTTTGTGTGTGTGATATGTGTCTTGCTGTGGAGATAGTGGCATGGAAACCTCTGTCACAAGGTCATTATCAATGGCCTATAACCAACCACATTTTGGTTGAAGCTTAATGCTATATTGTCACTGTAAGTAAAAATTCAGTCTCACTGTATGTCAGCAAGCCTGGTCCTTGTCCTCTTTGTAGACCTTTAGTAGTTAACAGCCATGTTCATTTTGTATCCATTCCCCTCCCAAAAGTTGCTCATCGTCCGTGAACAAACTAGGAAATCGGTGAAATTTAGTTCATGCTCTTCTCCTCTTGCTGAGCTTTCTTCTCTATACTGCTTAGCCCTTTGGATATTCATTCTCATTGGCTTTTTCTTTTCCTGAGCTGCCTTTTTAGATCACAGAGGCCAAAGGTGCTTTGACCATATTCACATAAGGCATGACATCTTTAAGGCTTAGTACATAGTCATCAGTGGTTAAAGCCTTAGTTCTAGAGACTTGCAAGTAGAACTTCTAGCTGATGATTTAGCAAAAATAATGATAGCCCAAAGCAACATTTATTGAGTATTAATGTGTGCTTTATATTGTCTGAGGCATTTTATGTACATTGTTTTCATTAATCTTACAACAATCCAATAATGTAGATGCTGTATATTGTCTTTTATAGATGAGACTAAAATTCAGGGAGATTAGATAATTTGTCCAAGACTGTGTCTATGAAGATGTGGGACTTGAAATGATTTTTAGAACCTATTTTTAAGAATATTTCCAATTCTTTTTTGTTTGTTTTTGTTTGTGTTTTTTATTTTTATTTATTTTTTGGTGCCAGGGATCGAACTGGGGACCTTGTGCTTGTGAGGCAGACTGCGGAAACACCGAGCCAAATCCCCAGCCCTGTTTGTGTTTTTTGAGACAGGATCTCACTATGTAGTTGAGATTGACCTGGAACTCACTATGTAGTCCAGGCTGGTCTCAAACTCACAGTGATCCTCCTGCCTCAGCCTCCTGAGTGCTGGGATTACAGGCATCCATCACCACACCCAGCTCAGCACTTTACATTTTAACTCATTTAATCCTAACAGCAGTATTTTGGTACAAGAACTGTCACTCTTGTCTTTCAGACAGAAAGCATAGTACAGAGGTTAAGCAGTTGATCAGAGATCACACAACCAGTGAATAAGTGGCAGTCAGGATCGGAACTCAGTCTGACTCCATAATGTGTGTTCCTAGCCACTTCCTTGGCTGCTTGACCTAGTGTTGTTTTGAATTCCTGAATCACTAATTGTATTAGTTTCCTAGGCTGCTATAACAAAGTTTCACAAATGGGCCGATTTAAAAAGCAGGGATTTATTATCTGATAGTTCTGGAGGCTAGAATTCCACATGTAAGGTGTCTTACATCATCAGGGCCACTCTCCCTCTGCAGGCTCTAGGAAAGCATTCTTTCTACCTTTCTGAGTTTCTAGTGCCTCAAATCTTCAGTTTGTTGACAAAATTCTAGTTTACCTAATTCCATCTCATTAAAGCAATCTGAGCTTTTCTGCAGTGCTTAAAAAATTTTCCCAGTCTTTTCTGATTACCCACTTGCAAAGTCACTTACACAGTTTTAGGTATATGTTCCACTAGCATTATACTTCTAAGTCCCCAACTTAATGAACATTTGAGTTGTGACGTTTCACAGGTACAAATGGACCTCACATTTGTTTTTTTATGCTTTACATTATACATTTGTGTATAAGACTCACTTTGTCAGATTTCCAAACAAATCCAACTTACGAACTTGTTTGTAAGTTGGGAAAATAATGTACTAATATTCTTGGAGTTTCTTGGGCTGCCATTACAAAGCACCACAATGGTTTAAAAACCAGCACTTGGAAGTTTGAGGCAGCAGGATCACCATGAGTTCCAGGCCAGCCTAGGGTAATGTTGTAAGTTCAAGGCTAGCCTGAACTGGAGGAGGCCTTGTCTCAAAAAATGAAACAAAAACCCCAAAATTTACACTGGGAATGGTAGCATATACCTGGTAATCCCAGCATTTGAGGCTGAGGCAGAAGGATTGCTGAAAGTTTGAGGCCAGCCTGGACTACAGAGTGAGTTGAAGATTGTTGTGAACTATACAGTGAAAACTTGTCTCAGAAAGAAAGAAAGAGAGAAAGAGAGAAAGAGAGAAAGAGAGAAAGAGAGAGAGAGAGAGAGAGAGAGAGAGAGAAAGAAAAGAAACAAACAAAAAACCCCAGAGTGAGTTGAAGATTGTTGTGAACTATACAGTGAAAACTTGTCTCAAAAAGAAAGAAAGAAAGAAAGAAAGAAAGAAAGAAAG